AAAAGATGCTTAATAACCAAGCTTATTACGTGCAGAGAACATGAAACCCGTCCACGCGATCCGCGCCACACACAGCGTGGCCAGAATGCGGCAAAGGCTTCAGATCTGGCTGTAGTAGGATGGTGAAAGTAATGGTACAGCATTATAACAGTGAATAAGTAATGAGAAATAATTTTAAACTCATAGTTACTGTCGACATAGGAAGTAAAGTAAGCAAATAACACCGAATAAACGGCAAGGTAAAGACTACGTCTAATTATAGTAAATACGTACTGCGTGCGTGACTCGAACCGGCGCTCGCGTACGGCACATAATCGCCTAGCTTCACGCCACTACACGTCTTCCCCTCGGCCACCGGGCATCCCCAAAAAAGAATATACGTAGGTCAGTGTGTAATATATCGTAGGTCAATGGTGTACAATATATCGTAGGTCAGTGTGCAATATATCGTAGGTCAATGTGGAATATATTGTAGGTCAATGGTGTACAATATATCGTAGGTCAATGGTGTACAATATATCGTAGGTCAGTGTACAACATATCACAGGTCAGTTTGGAATATATCACAGGTCAGTGTACAATATATCACAGGTCAGTGTGCAATATATCGTAGGTTAATGGTGTACAATATATCGTAGGTCAGTGTACAATATATCACAGGTCAGTGTGGAATATATCGTAGGTCATTGTGGAATATATTGTAGGTCAGTGTACAATATATTGTAGGTCAATGGTGTACAATATATCGTAGGTCAATGGTGTACAATATATCGTAGGTCAGTGTACAATATATCACAGGTCAGTATGCAATATATCGTAGGTCAATGGTGTACAATATATCGTAGGTCAGTGTACAACATATCACAGGTCAGTGTGGAATACACGTAGGTCAGTGTACAATATATCGAAGGTCAGTGTACAATATATCGAAGGTCAGTGTACAATATATTGAAGGTCAGTGTACAATATATCGTAGGTCAGTGTACAATTTATATTGAAGGTCAGTGTACAATATATCGAAGGTCAGTGTACAATATATATCATAGATCAGTGCACAATATATCATAGATCAGTGCACAATATATCATAGATCAGTGCACAATATATCGTAGATCAGTGTACAATATATCGTAGATCAGGGTACAATATATCATAGATCAGGGTACAATATATATCTTAGATCAGTTTACAATA